TCAGCACTCGCTTCATTCACGTCAAAGTCGGAGAGCTTTACGCTAACAGGCAGAGGCACTCTCTGCCGCCACTCAACGCCATACTCTGCAGCCAGCTCTTCGGCAAACCTCTGCTGCGAAGTCTTCAACAGCCCTCTCTCTACGTCTCTCTCGTAAAAGCACGCGGAGTACCACTTCCACTCTCCAAGGTTCTTCACGGGGACCATCTCGTTGAGATCCCTGCCAAACTTGTCACACCTTTCCTTCTGCCCTACAGCAAAAATGCCATCCACGTGGACCACGATGATCATGATCATACGTCCCTCCTCCATCAATCGAAAAACACATGCATCCGCCACACACTGCATAAAACCTAATAGTAACAAACACCTCGTCAGGTGCGCATGCCAATGTCGTCATGCCTGCTTGAAACCATACAGACTCTTGCACAGCTTCATGATCAGGCCAGATAACCTACCACACCCCTGCGGTAAGCGCATGAAAACATCCTCATCAAGCTCAGACTGCACAAAAGCCTGCCGAGTATCGAAATGGCACAAGTGNTACGTCTCTCTCGTAAAAGCACGCGGAGTACCACTTCCACTCTCCAAGGTTCTTCACGGGGACCATCTCGTTGAGATCCCTGCCAAACTTGTCACACCTTTCCTTCTGCCCTACAGCAAAAATGCCATCCACGTGGACCACGATGATCATGATCATACGTCCCTCCTCCATCAATCGAAAAACACATGCATCCGCCACACACTGCATAAAACCTAATAGTAACAAACACCTCGTCAGGTGCGCATGCCAATGTCGTCATGCCTGCTTGAAACCATACAGACTCTTGCACAGCTTCATGATCAGGCCAGATAACCTACCACACCCCTGCGGTAAGCGCATGAAAACATCCTCATCAAGCTCAGACTGCACAAAAGCCTGCCGAGTATCGAAATGGCACAAGTGAAGATTCTGCTCGCATGCTAGTGCTGCCAACAAGCGCACACTGGACACTGATACGGTGGATGCAAACAATTCTCCAAAATCAATCGAAGCCCTCTGCATGTCCCCCCGCGCTGCAAGTCTTGCCTTGAATTTCGTCGGCCATCCGTACTCGTCTGCCTCATAGTTGAAGACCCACTTGCCATTGATCGCGTTCTCTACTGGTTGCTACACCGGACTACAAGTTCCTGCATCCAACAAACCGAAAAATTCTCGACCGAATGCATCATCTCACAACTCTGAATGTTGAGACCGCATGGCCTCCTTCAACGTTTTCGGCACTCGGAGGTCGCTGGCGAGGCTGTGAGGAAGGTCTGGCATCTTGTCGGACGGGCGCTCGGCGCGAAGAGCGGCGTCCACATCCTCGCGGGTGGCGAACATCGTTGCGAACATCTGCGGTCTCCCCCCCCCACCGGAATCCACGGGTCCCCCAGCTCCCAGGGCGCCCCCGCTTCCACGGCCTCCAAGACTCTGATCCGGCTGCGGCGGGGTCGGTATGTCGCGGCGTCCTTGATCCACGGCCTCCCGGGTGGCGAGCGACGAGATGAGGGAGTCCTTATCCATCATCGCTAACATACCAAGACGGTGGTGGAGAGAGGCGCCGCCACCGGACGGCGGTTGTTGTTGTTCTCCATGAATCGCACTACATCGCCGCGCGTGCGGCCGTGTACCCTCGTGCCCTTTCGTCCCAACCCCTTCACGGCTCGTTTCGAAAGCGGCGGGTGCGGGGGAGCGGGGGTGGCGGCGCCCGTGGGCTGCGGCGGCGGCGGCGGCAGGTCCGGGGGCGAACGGGCGGCAGGCCCGGGGGCGAACGGGGCGGCGTTGTTGCGGTCGACAGTGGGGCTGATGATGGAGCGACGGAGATCGGCGACGGGGCTGAGGATCCTGTGAAGATCGGCGGGGATGCGGGCTGCGGCGGTGCGGTGGTCGCTGGTGCAGGCGGGATGTAGGTGTACGTCCTTGATGGCGGGGGCGGCGGCGGTGCGGCATCGGGCGCAGGTACGGCGGCGGCCGGCGAGGGCGCCGCGGTGACCGAAGAACCCCCCCCCGATGCCCGGCACCGGCGCCGGCGCCCCTGCCCGGCGGTTGACCCACACGACGTTGTTGGTGAGGGCGGGGCGACCGGTGTCAGCGCCAAGAACGACGGCGGTAGACGTCGAGTGTTTGTTGGCGCCGTGCAGGTGGAAGCACCGCGCGGATTGGACGTCCGCCTTCGTGGCCCGCTTCACGCGCATCATCCCCTCCTGGAAAAAAGGGACGGCGGTGAGGGGCGGCTTCCGGCCGAAGAACGCCTTAAACGGCGACATCCAGCCCAGGATGGCCTTCGTCGCGGAGCGGTTGAAGCAGGCGGATGCCCAAAGCGCCGACACGAGCCACAGACGATGTCCGTTGACGCCGACGTTGGGGATGGAGGAGTGGTCGACGTGGCCCATGGCGAGGATGTGGCGGCGAGCGGCGTGGCCCCCCTTCATGGCGCGCCAAATGGCGCTCTCGACCACCGCGTTTTGCTTGGGGGTGTCGGGGGCGGTGTACTCGCGCCGAATGCCAGCAGCGTCGCAGAACGAGGTGAACGCGGAGCCGGTGAACTCGCCGCCGTTGTCCATGCGGAAACACCCCGGAGTGCCCATGCCGTTCATGTCGGCGAGGAACCACTGCACGAACTTCAGGGTGTCGCTCTTTGCCCGCATCCCGTACCCCCGTTGCCACCGCGATGCGCTGTCCACGAACATGATCAGGTACCGGAAGCCGTGCAGCGCGTCAGAGAACGGACCCGTGAGGTCGATGTGGACATTGCCGAACGGTACCGCCGCGCGGGTGCCACGCGGCGGCACCGGTGCCCGCCTGCCCTTCGCCTCCACGCAGCCCACACATGGCTGCTTCTCCCCCACCAGTCGTACGCCCTGCTGCTTGGCTGTTTCACGAATCAAAAATTCGTTTACATGGCCGGTGGAGGCATGGAACAAATTAATGTCAATGGTCGGCGTGGATTTTCCTACCGAAAACGGGGAAACACCGGGGGCGATATTCGCCAAGGCATGCGAGAGGGAGGGGGGAGCTACGTTTTTTTTTTGCTCACTGCATCCAGCAACAAAACCCTTCAAGCAATCCAATTCATCATTCATCACGGCAAACGCGGGGGGGGGGGGATGTTGCAGAGTCGCAAACATCAAGCGCATCCGGAAAAAAATCACCCTGTGGGACCGAGTCTATTCCATTTTATCAGGCCTACATCAAGGAACATGCTCATATCCATGAGAGGCAAATGGTCCTGGGGGATGAGGGGGTTGATCACAACTTCACGAAAATCGCTCGGGTCAACGATGGAGGGAGAAGCAATCTCAGACGACGCTACGGCAGCTGTGATTACAGGCTGGTAGTCGGCAATAATCGTTGGCACTACATCTACGTCGATTGGCGGGAATGCACAACGCGGGATCACTACACCGGACGTGGTGGATGGGACGCTCGTGGTCGCACTCGCAGAGGAAGGTACAACACCGGCAGCGACTCCACCAGCGGACTGGAAGCTCGTACTCGCACTGGCACGCGGAGGTACAACACCGGCAGCGGCACCACCGGCGGACTGGAAGCTCGGATTCGCACTCGAACTCGAAGGTACAACACCGGCAGCGACTCCACCAGCGGACTGGAAGCTCGTACTCGCACTGGCACGCGGAGGTACAACACCGGCAGCGGCACCACCGGCGGACTGGAAGCTCGGATTCGCACTCGAACTCGAAGGTACAACACCGGCAGCGACTCCACCGGTGGACAGGAAGCTCGTATTCGCATTTGTGCCCGCTCCTTTTCGGGGGAAAGGGGGGTTCGCGACAACAAGGCCTGTCCCAGCGCTAGGCAGGGGAGCTTGGGGAGACACACGAGGGAGGGCATAGGGACCGAGGGTCACAGCACTACCGGTATTCGTGGGAGGCAAGCGAGTGGCCCAAAGAGAACATCCTACATCGGAGTAAGCAAAGGAAAGCTGGCCATTGGATAGATGCACGCCATTTTCATCCAACGGAAGTCTCTGCCTACGCTGCGTATGGTGCAGAGAAAACAGATTGAACGTGATGCCGGGGACTACGTACACGTCCGACATCTGCACGCAAAAATCGGTCTCGCCCGAAGGGCCAGGCATGTGAAATGGCATGTTGATGCTACCAACACATTGCACGCGCAGATAGGCACCATTCCCTACTTGGATGAACTCTTTTCCTGCCGGGATCGGCTCCATATCGAACATGTTTTCGCTACTGCTGACAAACGTGTTGCTTGCGCCACTGTCGGCCCAAAATTGCTCTCTACCAATCTGCGAAGGGCGACTCTGAACAGACAAAGCGAAACCACTACCATTCTCACGCGCTACCACACTCGGAAAGATCTCGCCTTGTGACACACAACGTGTCTTGAGGAAGTGAAGATGCCCAGGGGATCCGGCTGCATCGGGAGGAGGCGAATGGTACGGGGCATGGGTCGAGTGCTGCTGCGGCTGCGGCTGCTGCTGGAACGACGGCGGTGGCGGAGGCTGCGGCAGTGGCTGCTGGTGCTGCTGGTAGTAAGTTGTCGAAGGCGGGTAATGCGGCTGCTGCTGGAAGCTGTAGTCTGGCAAAGGTTGCTGATACTGTGGCTGATGCTCCCACCCCCCATACTCGTTACCATACGCGGTCCCCTCATGGGGCGCGGCACCGTACGGTTGACTTACATTTGTATACCCGTACGGGGGCCGCCGCTGCTGCTGCGGTGTACGAGGGGGAGCTGGATGTCCATGATGCTGCTGTCCTCCGTAGCCGCCGTGAGGTCCGTGCCGGGGCCCACCCCCCCAGCCCCCCCCACTGCGGCTCGGCTGCTGCGGCGGCGGTCCCCGACGTTGCTGTTGCTGCTGAGACGGCTGCGGTTGTGGGGGCTGTTGCTGTCGTTGGGGCTGCTGCTGTTGCTGANCACCCCCCATACTCGTTACCATACGCGGTCCCCTCATGGGGCGCGGCACCGTACGGTTGACTTACATTTGTATACCCGTACGGGGGCCGCCGCTGCTGCTGCGGTGTACGAGGGGGAGCTGGATGTCCATGATGCTGCTGTCCTCCGTAGCCGCCGTGAGGTCCGTGCCGGGGCCCACCCCCCCAGCCCCCCCCACTGCGGCTCGGCTGCTGCGGCGGCGGTCCCCGACGTTGCTGTTGCTGCTGAGACGGCTGCGGTTGTGGGGGCTGTTGCTGTCGTTGGGGCTGCTGCTGTTGCTGGGCTGCTGCTGTTGCTGAGGCTGCTGCTGTTGCTGAGGCTGCCGCTGTTGCTGAGGCTGCTGCTGCTTGGTCTCCTGCTTCTTCCGTTGCCGGCGCTGGGTGTAGCACTCGCTGTTGGTGTGCGACGAGTACGGATGACAGTCGCAGCGCCTGTCTCCGTCCGCCTTGTTGTTGCTGCTCCGACCGCCTCCATTGCCGTCCTGACCCCCGGCGTTCCCACTGGACCCATTTTCGACACGTCCGTCGCCCCGGTGCCCACCGGCAGCGACGAAAGCGTGCCCCGCGCCATTTCGCGGCTCCCCCGCCCGTGCGGTCACCATATCCTGATGGGCATCTTTCACCACCTTTTCAAGGTGCTGACGGGTCAAATTGGGGGTCGGAAGGGCACGCAGCATAGCTCTTTCCATCTTGTACTCGGAAGACAAGTTGTACACAACGTGCAAATTGGCATCATCGTCGGGGTATGTGACGCCGTGTGAGGCTAACCTACTGCGCAAAACAGCAAATCTGCCAAAGTATTCCTGCGGACTCTCACCCACTCGCATTTTTATGGCATGGTATTCCGAAGTCAACCGTGTTTTTTCTGCTCTCGCCTGGGGTTCGTAATATGCTAGAAATAGTTTCCAACCCCCACTGGGACTACCATCAGCGATAATCTGGGTCAAGACAGGCATGTAGATGATTGTCGTGATGATCAAATTCCACGCCGTGATCGCCTTTTCTACCGTTTCAGGGGAGTGCATCCTACGCAAGTCCTCCATGTCTACTCCTTCTAGCCCGACTGGAATTCTGTGGTCACTCAATACCACTTCCCTGACTCCTTCTTGCGCAAACATAGCAGTCATGTTCGATCGAAAAATAAAAAACCTTGCTTGTTCATCCTAAGAGTCGCTGCGCTACTTGGTACTCTACCCGTGTCTGCAGGTGATATCTGAAGACGGCTGGTCAGGGCGTCGGCGAGAGTGCGGGCGATGTCGTCTGCGGACGGGCCGGCGGATGGTCGCCTGGTATGTTGCTGGTGGGGTGTCTCGTGGTCGTTCCCGCTCCGGACGTGATCTGTCCTCTGCTGCTGCTCGTCTTGTTGCCTTGTAATTTCGGCCAGTCTCGCTGCTACCCTCTCGTTCACCAACTCTTTGATCCGGGCGTCGTCGTCCACTGCTTGACGGTCGCTCTCTCGGTCTCGGTTTCGGTTGGGGGTGCTCATCGGTGACTGTTGCTGATCGCCGCAAAGCGATGTGACTCCAATCTAAGCTCGACGCGAATATCGTTGACGACGTGTCATACGCTAGCGTGATCGATAATTCGGGTGGCTCAGTTCTGTGTGTTGGGAGTGTAGAGCAGCTGGGCCATGACGGGCCGTGGTAGGGGCGGGACGTGTAGGAAAACGTGTTGTATTCTTCGGAGGCGTGCTCGTGCTCGTAAATCTGTCACGGCATCAAGCACGATTCACGCTCATCACGCTCAAACTACCAAACGGAGCTCTCTGATTCCTCCGCATCGCGTCACTGCAATTTCCGTACGTACGTACTGAAGATCTTACCCGTCATACTATGCTACGAGTACCACCAATATACCTAAAATAACGCACCAGCACCAGGCACTACGCAGCAGGGCATGGGAGTAACGGACCAAACAGGACAAAGAGGTGGCAGATGGACAGACAGCCAGATGTATAAAAACAAAAGCAACAGCAAAAGCGAGATCAACGTACCCAACACAGCAGAGTAGGCAGGGAGGACATGAACGCTAAAAAAATAGACTACAGCACAGAGGCCGAAGGCCATACAAAAGACATACATGAAGGAGTTAGCATACAGCAGAGAGGAAACATGGCGTAACAACATCAGCCGGGTACATAGTTGGCCGGTCGCCCCGGTGGTCTAGTGGGTAGCTTCGCTGCCTGCCAAGGGCCAGGTCATGGGTTCGAGTCCCGACAGAGTGAGTTTTTTCTCGCTTATTACATCCTGGTCTCCTTTGGAAGCGACGCGCTGCAAAGCTCGTTGTTTGTAATCTTGATGGACTTCATAAGTCGCGAGGGAAGGGATTGCTGTACCTTTTTCGCGATAAGAATATCTCAGGCATGAACCGCAGGAGGGGGTCCAACCCCCCCCTCCTACGTCACCCCGGTTGGGTCGTCTGGCTGGTAGAAGTGGAGGATAGGGGCCAGAGGGGCAGACGACAGAGTTCAATGATGGGAGCAAAACAAAACAAACATAGTTCGCCACAATTGCTGCCTCGGCCGCCCTACTCGCTTCTACATCAGTACCTGGTCGCCGTCTCTTCCCCCCGACCGCCGCTTCCCCGACTCTCGTTCTCTTCGATCCTGAGATGGCCGTACTCTTGCTTCTGTTTCCCTCGCGCGCTGACGCTTCGCGGACGCTTCCGCCTCCTGCCTGTGCCATTTCCTCATGAGCCATGCCGCCCCGTCCTCGATCTTGTTGTACCACACCTCCGGACCCTTGGCGCTCTCTTTCCATTTCCCCCCTTCCTTTTCGTCTCCCATGTTGAAGGCCACGAGGTCCTCTCCTAGACGAGACACCCAGTCGCTCTCCTGCCCGCCCCGGTATCCCACGCCCCCCGCCATCGCTCCTAACAGCATGCGCTTGGGGAGGCGGCTGTCCTCCATGCGCACTACAACAAAGCCCGCGAAACACAGTCTTCGTTTGCGCACGGTGGCCTCGATGGTTTCCTCGCAGCCTGCCTGGATGAGGGCCTGGGCATAGGACAGGGGGCGGTCTGAGCGTTTCCGCTTGCTCCAGCCGATGCACCGTGTAAGGACCTGGAGGTGGGTCCCATTGAGCTTCGTGTATTGCTCCGCTGTTAGGCTCCACGAGGCGCACCCATGTAGGAGAGTCTCGACCACTTCAGCCTGCCGCATCTTGAGCTGGCTGTCGGCCCGTCGCCTGTCGTACATCGAAGCTTGTTATGCAGTCGTTTGTTATCGTATCAGAAATTTCACAGTTCACCGATTATTGATTTTCAGTTAGAGGCCGATCTGCAGCATGAGGAAAGGAACGTACGACTACCCCTATTTGCACGACGCACTTGCAAATAACAACTTGCACGAGTCAAACGTCTCCAGAACCACACACAGAAACACAGTCAAGACAGCGGAGGGCATCATAAGCACGCTGGCAGCAGTAGATACCCGAGGCACAGCCTCTCCCGGCACGCTCGGTCACTACATCCCCGAGGAGCAGCGTCTCCAGAAGCACCGTCAGCGACATGGAGGCTGCAACCACCTGGCGAGGCACGGCGCGGGGCAGGGACATTACCCCCAAGGCCTTCCCTCCTCTCCCGAAGGCGCTATTAGGCCGCAAAGCACGAAGACACGACACTGACCTGCAGCTATCCCTCGTGAGTATTCGTACTGCTGTGAGGGCCGTTATGTTTCCTCTACACAATTGTGTTGCTGCTGTGTTGCTGCTAACTGCCGGCTGTGCTCTATTTCGTAACTCTGCAGTACTGTGTATACCATCATACCATCCTTCCCATGTAGTCTATACTTGTAGCAGTACATGACCAAGTCACCGACCAGCAGCCTGCCCCTGAGAGATTGATCACCCGTTGCGTTTTTTTCGTCCTGTCTTGCCACACACGCAACCCCTCGTGTCAAGTAACTTCGTGTGCCGCCGCCGGGGGTACGCTGAGTTTGCTACAGCAGTGCAGCAGCAGTTGCGTCTCTTTCCTTGGAGGTGCATTACACCCCCGAGCACACCAACCGCCGAGCATTCCTGGCATGCCCTCTCTCTGTGTACACGCACGCTCCCTTTTGTCCACCGACTGGGATATTTCCATGCGAATTTTGGCTGTTTTTTTATGCCGCTGCTGTCTGTGTGTACCGCCCTTGGATGAATATGCGCTGCTGGGCAATACTGCCAGTCATCACCGTATTCGCTGCTTGGTTGCTGCCAGGCCATGCTGCAGGGCCATGTCAGCATTTTTTCTCAACCCGTGTACAATCTCACATACACGGTGTACCTATGCCCTCGGTGCTCTTATTTATCCTCCTCCCGTTTACAGCTCGCAGCACACATCTGCAACGCGTACACGGCCGAAATCCAGCCGTTGTTGATGCCCTGCGGCTTCGGGCCGACGCTCTACAATTTTGGCACCCGGTCAGGCTGCGGTTTCAGGGCCCGGCGCACAGCGGGGAGAGACGTGAAGCCGAGTTTCCGACCTCTGCAGGGAGTCCGCCCTTGTGTGTTTCTCGAGATCGTCAACGCCTGGGGGGCACACCGACACCTGACACCCCAAGGTGACCGCCCTCTCAACGAAAACGAGCCTTCCATAGCCCTCACAACTCCTCAAGTTCGCACGGGTCTGAAGAAGATGGAGTCGTGTTCGACCCCAGCTGAGTGAGGCCAGTTGCCGTTTTTGCACCCGTTTTTCTTTCCCCGGCAGCCTTGGTCCTCCTTTGTGGCATTCTCCCATACTGCAGCAATTTACTGCCGAAGAACACGTTTTACAAATTTGTTCCCGTTATGCAGGCTTTGGACATTGAAACCGGTACGCGTATGCACGCTTGTTGATGCTCATCACGGCCTGTTTGCTGCAACTTTTTGGTGGGAGGAAACGGGGAACGGAAGTGGTACGGGTCTTGCTGTAGCTCGACTGCAGTGCTTGTGTCGGGGCTTTTCAGCAACCAGCAGAGAGTGTGCAATCCGGAGAGCGAACAGCAGTGCTCTTCTTTTTCATCCATCATACTCTATACACGAGCATACCCCGGGATATTTCTTGTTAGAGAGAGAGGAGCGGCACCGGCCGCTGTTTTGAACACCGCTACGTATTCAGCAGGCACGAAACACCAGGTACGGCAGGTACGGCAGAACGGCAACAGAAGAGCAGAAGATATGCATAGTCTAGACCCCAGCAGCAAGCAGCCTGCTCCGTAGGGATGGATCGCCCTTGTTTTTTTTCAGTCTTGCCTTGGCACACGCTCAACCCTTCGTGTGCCGCGGGGGATACGTTTCGTTACCTGCAGCAGTGCAGCAGCAGTGCGTCTCTTGTTTTAAGGTGCATTACGCACCAAAGCACACCAACGCCGAGAATTACCTTCGCCGTTTGAGCCGCACAGCAGCAGTATTTCTCCGGCAGCTGCATACCCTCTCACTACTGTGTACACGCAAGCTCCCGTTGACCATGTACTACCCGCGTTGTGGGCATACGCTGGCGTACCTCTAGGTTAACAACCGCATGTGGGCTTACGCCGCCGGTGGTTGCAACGGGAAAGCACAATTTAGATCAGACGCGGTTGATATAACCAGAAAATGCCAGAATATATTGCACTCATCATCCCCGCCGCCCCTAGTTTTACGTCGTCCGTACCGTACAGGAGAGTGGACTATCCCCTTTTTTAGAATTACACTACGCTTCCTACATTGTGGTAGCGGCGGCGGACTGAAGGTACCTCGGGCAATAGAGAGGTGCCGAGGGAGGAAAGACAACAATGGCTCAATTTAGAGACTCCGGCGGGGTACGGGAGGTGATACCGGGGTTGTGGGAGGTCGTCTGCCACCATCTACCATGGTATGATGGACACTGAATAATATATTGCATTGTTCACTTGGTGATTGTGATCCTTCATGGCGTTAGCGCTCCACCGCCATGAAGAGGCTACCGAGAATGTCGGACTGCGAGGCGGATGACATTCTTTCTGGATGCCATTTTGTTGAAAATATTCACTCTTGTTTGTAGTGCAAGGGGTAGGAGCAATTTAGACTAGATTTGCTTTTTCTTTTCGTTGTATCGATTCTATTATGATACCATGGACACGTAACATTGTTCACGTGTTGATTGTGATCCTGCATGGCGCTAGCGCTCCACCAGCACAAAGAGGCTACCGAGAATGTCGGGCTGCGTCGCGGGTGACTTCGTCTGAATGCCATTTTCGTGAATATATTCACCCTTCTTGGGGGGGTAGAAGCTAGACTAGAGTTGGTTGTTTTCATTTTATAGCTTATGCATCTTGTCTCCGTTCTGTTGGGTGTGGGTACGAAATCTTTCGGTGACTCGCAGCATTTGCGCATGTTTGAATTAGGATCGACCCCGGATCGGAGCTCTCCGTTTCATTGGAGTAGGTACGACCGAATCCGACTGAGGGGCGATCCTTTGAGATGAAAACGACTGAAAACCGTTGGTGGCAGCTTGGGCGGGGACGGAAAGGGAGGGAGATTCATGTGTACTGTGAGTGAAAGTGACGCTGATCTGTTTCATGAGACCCTTAAAAGAACATGGAAGTGGTCGTTGGGGGAAAACACAAAATGATACTCTCTCCTGAACCCGGCCAAACATCGGGTTTACACATGAAACGGCCCATGCTCGCCTCCGCATAACACAGACGTGGGGAACACTTGGACCGTGGTCCCCATAAAAAAAGGAATACAAGGAGGTCAGAAGACAGACGCCCGAAGGCTAAACACCCCTGTTCTTGTTTGGCATTCCGTTCCTAAGTGCTGACGTCATTCATTACACGCTCATCGGGCTGTCGACCCCGGAATACAGAGAATGCACACTCAGTCACTCCTGCAAACACTTGTCTCACATTATTCACTCGACGAAACTTCACTTACGCACTCATTTCATTGAGCTCTCGGCCTGCACTCGATTCACTAAACTTCACTTCAAGCAGCTTATTTCGCTCACTCAGCCAAGCCGACTTACGGTGAACTCGATGAAGCCATGATGACAAAGATACGGACGGCGATGCAACAGGTTTCGTCGTATGTTGGCCGCCTTACAGCTGCAATGAGAAACCGGTGCGTGCGAAGTGAAGCTTATATTCTACTGCCTTTGTATTGATCCAAACAATTGTACATATGTTTCAATATGATCTGTTTCATTTTCCTCCTAAGAGAAAAGCTACCAGCATGGCAGCATACACAATGATCGCAATATCATCAGAAATGTACTATCTGCATTGCAATACAACTATGTGTAAGAAAACATTCACTCGCCAAAATTCGAGACAGCAACTGATTGTTCATTTTCTGCGCCTGTCGCCTTAGGCCCCGATCCAGAACGATATCCCATTCCTCGGCATTTTCGTCACCTGATGCTCCTTCTGCGGAAATAATGGCCGTCGACACGCGCTGAAGGGGTCATTAAAGGGGTCATTCCACGTGGCTAAGCAGCAATGACCAGGACACTTACCGGCGAGAGAAACGTCATCTCCGCTTACGACATGACATAGACAATTTTTCATTTATTTTGCTACAAGGCAGGGCATCCGGCTACACGGTGCCACGCGAAGCATCACTGAGAATAAACTCACAGGGTAACACAGTTGTTGGTACTCGAACCCCGAGTTCAACAACTTGGTCCTTTGGTGAACGAATTCCTCATCGACGTATTCAGCCGCAACGAGGATCAAAGACTCATCTTTCACGCATATAATCAAGATAACCAAGATAAGTATCGCACACTTCATTAAACCACTCACAAGTCGGCGGTGTCACGGATACCAAGATCCCTCGGGACTACTGTACATCTGCACCAGCCGATAAAGTTATCATACCGTCCAGCTTTAGCATTTGCAGATCGGGCGAAAAACCTGACGAAACAAGCGATGGCCATCTCACGAGTGCTGCATCAGCACAAAACAAACATGTTTACACAATGAGACATTGATTGGTTGATGAACGTTTACATTTGATACCACATCCGTCCAGCCCTGAAAGGCCACAACCGGGTCGCCCAGGGCTCGACGGCGTCATCGACGACTACTATACGTTGGGCACGACCATACCCGGCTTTTTCACTCCCATCTCGTCTTTATAGCAACCTTCCACTGTCAACAACTTCAGAACTTCATTCCCGCTCGCAGCACCAGCTGCGAAGATTTCATCCCCCCACTCGCCGCACGCACCTCTGTCACACTCGCCCCTATCCCCGAATTCTTCCCACTCGCCATCCCATGGGTTTGACCTCTCCAAGAGCACCACCTCCAATACTTCCATGCCCCCCAGCGCAGCGGCACATTTCCATCCGCTGTTACCCGCTTCCCACCCGCTGTCCAGTGCGTCCGTCGTGCGGGGGACCGACGTCACCACTTGGGAGTCCACCCTGTCTGTATTCTTTCCCATCAAAATGCGCGCGCCCCGACCGCGCAACCGGCCCCAGAAAAATGAACTGCGCATCGCCTGCGAAGGCCATGATCGCCGAATCCACGTCGGCATTCATAAATAGTGGCGCCTTTATGGGACAGAAAACACGGCCCAAAATGTCGGGAGCAGCCAGCGTAGCGGACGGACGGACCGTGCGGATGAGTCAGCAATGTTTGGTCATATATCTATTATGTTTTGCGTTGCCAGAGCAACATAAGCTCATACAAACGTCGATAGTGAATAATGTATGCACAGCAGCAGAAGCATCCCCACTGTCAAAGGGAGGTAGGTGCGTCGATGCTCTTGTAGATGAATATACTCAAACCACCACCACAAGTACAACAGCAGTAAAGCAGCAGTGCATGCAGGAACGGCAGCCCAGTACATTACAGTACCACGTCCACACATAATGACAGAAAACGTAAACTCCATACAAACAACACAGACATTATCTTTCTATCATTTTGTTTACTTTTTCCGAGTGGTTTGTACCCTATTTTTTTTTGTACCCCCGCAGCGTCGTATGTGCCCGGTTTTGAGACCACGGGCTCCCCATTTTTTGTAGACTAGCGAACAAATGCGAGAAATAACAACGACAACAACTAACTCCGTATAACCAAGTATCCTCCTGTCAAAACAAATATATATCCTGCTGTCTGAACGTTTCTTTTGATGAGCCATGATAAAAAAACGTTGGCGCTCTCATCTTTGTATATCTATGCAATCCTCCTGTCAATACAAACATCCTGCTGTCTGTCATTTGTTACGATGGCTTTTAGGCTGGCTTTTTTTCAAAAAATGACAACTGGCCAAATAGCCCCGTGTTGCAACGTCTTTTTTTGCTAAAATATGACAACGAAAATAACATGATGAAGCTTTTTTGACAGCCAATAACACGGGCCTATTTGGCCAGTTGTCATTTTTTGAAAAAAAGACAGCCTAGAAAAAGACATCGTATCAAAATGGACTGAGGCCACTTGTTACGCTGTCTCTTTTTGGGCTGTCCCTTTTCTCAAAAAGAGACAGCCCAAAAAAAGATATGGAAAAACGACAACCAACCCACTTGTTACGCTTTCTTTTTCCAAAAACGAGGTGTTCGATTATTCTCGGAGGCGTTTCGCGTGCGCGCGCCAGCGCGCGCGAACGATTTTTGAATTCTTGCAGTTCGCGCCGCTTCTCTCTCGCACACGCGCACAAGCTACATCAGCACACCACGCGTATCCACACCGCACACACACCACGAGCCACCGCATACCATGGATGTTATGAAACTAGACAACGTTCAGCCTCTCCCGCTGGAGTTCAACGGGTATGTCGAGGGCACGTTGGATTTGCTCCTGGCCGGCAAGGGCCTCTCGCAGATCAAGCTTCTCAAGCACCTCCAGAACGTGTGCATCGTGTACGCTTGCTTGGCGGTCAAGCGGAACGCCGGGATCGTCTCCACGGAGGCGAAGTACAAGGCAGCGGCCAAGGGCTACAAGGACATCGCTGTCCCAGGATTCTTCAAGTGGCTCAAGGAAAACGGCGTAGTGATCAAGCAGGCGTGGCTGACGTTCGAGGTCATGGGCAGATGAAGCCTGAACGGAGGTGAGAAAACGAACGCTTCGCGACACACCGTGAGACACAACCGACCGCCGCGACAGAGAGAGGCAGGTTTCGAATGCGTATCCGACCCTCTGCGCCGCTATGGTCTGCTGTTCAACACGATATGAGAAACGCCGGATGCAGGGTGTTTGTGTTTGGTCCGCTCAGCGCAAATACATATTTTCAAAGTTGTCACGTGTGTTGACAGGGCAGACAGGCCATCACGGTGCGCTGCCTTGACAGAGTCGTGATCCATCAAGTAGGCAGCACCCACAAAGCCCTCCACCAGAAGTAACTAGGCTGTGTGTAGCGTGTAGTTTGGTGACATAGTCTGGGGTGATAAAGCACGCCCGGCTTTGGGCAGCAATCGGTTATAAAATGACGACATGACAGCGATGGGCATCCTCCTGCAAAGTCGGTGTCACCAGGAAATGTTACCGACTCAAAATTTATCATGTTGCATCAGGAAACAAACGGTGCGGTTAACGTGCTCATGTCATGTCTGCTTTAGTGCTGTAGGGGATGGAANCTTCCACCAGAAGTAACTAGGCTGTGTGTAGTTTGATGACATAGTCTGGGGTAATAAAGCACGCCCGGCTTTGGGCAGCAATCGGTTATAAAATGACGACATGACAGCGATGTGCATCCTCCTGCAAAGTCGGTGTAACCAGGAAATGTTACCGACACAAAAAGTCTCATGTTGCATCAGGAAACAAACGGTTCGGTTAACGTGCTCATGTCATGTCTGCTTTAGTGCTGTAGGGGATGGAAAGTCCTGTACTGCTGCTGACAGTGAAGTGCTACTGCTGTTCCACTGTTGTTTGACTTGCCCTGCAGCGCCGGTCCTGTTCACCGACGGGAAGAAGTTGTGGAAGCGCTTCGACAAGGTCATGCGCGAAATGAAGAAGACGTACAACAAAGTGTGGGACAGGTGTGTAGACTCTTTTGTGGTACTGCTGTATGACGTGGTACTGCTGTATTGCGTGGTACTGCTGTATTGCGCAGTACTGCTGTTTTGCTCCGAAATAGTGGTTGAGGCTCGATACAGCTTTTGGCCCAACTATATCTACAGTAGCGTGTTGTGTGTGCTCCCGAATCAGCGGTAAACTACAAGCCCAACATCGGAAGAGGACTCTCATTGGCGGCGGTGTTGCTGTACGCAGCTGATGTAGAGCCAACAACCCATGTAGTGTCGAAGGATAGGCCTGCACGTGTCGAAGGGTAGGCCTGCACCATC